GTGTGTGTGTGTGTGTGTGTGTGTGTGTGTGTGTGTGTGTGTGTGTGAGTGTGTGTGTGTGTGTGTGTGTTTATATAATTCGACTGATCGACTGGTCACGTATAGGACTATAAAGTTTCGCTAAAAAAGATCTGGAGCTATTAAAAACGTTAATCGATGTCCATCCGGAGAACGAGGATCATCTTTCGATGCTCGAGGAACTCGAAGCGAGGTCTCTTCGGCATCTCGACGGTCCCCGTCCGCGCGGCTGGAACGAGCTGGACGAGCGACGAAGTTCGATTTTCTCCCAGGCCGACTATCGGCACCGTCACGGATCCAACGGCTCCAGATCGGGTGTGCCGCGCTGCGCGAGAATCTTCGATCTCTCCGTGCGTGATTGAATTTTGCTTTGCAACGACTTGATCTTCTCGCGATAAATCTGTACGCGCGACGCGTTCGTTTTTCGCGGGTCGCCAGAGAGACAGAGATCCAAGAAACCAATGAGGACGATGGACGAGAAATGGGACGGCGAGAAACGACGAGGACGTCGAGAAGAGACAACGATGACGAACCGATCGAACGATGAGTCGAGACCAAACGAAAAGTGAACGAGTGAAGGACGAACGGAGCGTTACGGATGAATTTTCGGAAGGGCGGCGTAAAGGGTAAAGGGTGCGGCAAACAAAATTTCGTAAATCAAATAGGCGAATGCGATGGATCGAGAATAATCAAACAGAACAAAACAAACACAACAAGAACGCAAACTTAGGAGAAAGAAGCGAAACCTATCGAATAAGTTTTCTTTTTTTTTTTTTTTTTTTTTTGTTGTAATAGCGCGCAACGTTTCACTTGTGCACGCTGCATTTCCGCACAAGTCTCGACGTGCGCGTCCAGAGGTCACTTGATTTTCTTGCGTATATCTTCTGTTTTTTCGCGTTTGCTCTCGAAACACGCGTGTCTCTCTCTGTTTCGGATCCGACGAACAAACGCTTTGTTTTTGCGTAGGCGAGCTACTCGTGACGATCGAAAATTCGAGACAAGTGAAGCCTACGGTGATATCGTGTACATGTTTCGTGTGTGCGAGAAAGAAATTTTTGCGTGTTTCCTGCGCGCATCTATAGCGTCTGTAGAGATTGAGACGGTGCAAAACATTGTTACCTGCGTACGTACGTGTATATCGCAGGTCGCGGTCGTGCGACTACAGACTAAAGTAGTGCTCGACGAAATGAGAAAATTTCAGGAACGAACTTTTCATATCGCGGACGGAGCACAGTACACCGTTGTTAAGCGAACAATTTTTGCCAAACCGCCGCGAATACTCTCGCAAAGATACGACCAGAAACATACAAGTTTTTAGTTCGAATTTTCTCGTTTAACCGAACGCTATCGTTTCTACTATATTTTCTTCTTTCATTTGACGTGTAAACGGCGCAGCGTTTTTATTGCGACAGAGTGCGACGACGATTGTCGCGAAATCGTCGTTTTCATCGTGTAACGCGCGTGATACGCAAGAGACCGGTGAGACGGCAATGTAAAAATAGAAAAGATAAGAACGAACACGTGAATTACACAAAAACAAGCAAAATCAAGTAATCCCCCCTTTTGAGACAACACCAAACAACAGCAACAACACATACAGGTGTCGTTAAAATGTACGTGGACAAGAATGGAAAGAAAAGAAAAACTATGTTCTAAGAAAGACCGAAACCAGGACGTGCGTGAGAGTGATATTATGGTCGATTGTGGTCTCGTACAATGTAAAAAAATAGAAAAAGTGAAAACCTTGGTCAGAGCGTGATACCAACAAGCACCGAGTAAAAGATGTACCACCACGATGATAACATGCTTCGCGAATCGCGGTCCATCGTTCGATCGCTGTTTTTGCAAAGAAAGAAACGATTCGAGCATCAGCGATTCGAACGACGATCATCGAGTTCGATCGACGCGATAAAAAGAGTGTAATTTTTTTTAGAGATATAAAGCAGAGTTAGAAGTTTTTTTTCTCGCGCATCGAATAAATCGTACGAGTAGGTACAAACACGAAAGAAACGAGAAAAAAAAGAGAATGATATTTAGCGAATTAACATTTTCTTTCGAAATTGAATTATTTCGATCGCGAGTTCATTCGAACTGTGATCGGAATTGCGAATCCCTAAACAATAGCGGAACGATCGATTAAAAAGTTTACGGTTGTCCAAGTATCGCGAGTTAGAAAGCTTCTCGATATGAAAGGTTTTGGATAGGATCGGGATACGTGATATTGGATATAAAATTGAACGGAAACACCTTGACGTAAATAAAATAATCGAAATAAATAGCAGTACGACCTCTGTCTCCCGATAATAATCTTCCTCGAAACGACGCGACACCGACGATCGTCGGATTATCAAAATGTTTCCAGCTGTGGGACAATCGTTCGTTAGGCTATCGGCCACTTCGAAACAACTTGTCGCGAACGCGGAACGATCTCGACGAATTCTAGAGAAGAATAACGTTCGCTTTCGATTACGAAGCAGCCGATACGATGCCAATGATCCGATTGCCCCGACCATTAACGATTAGCGTGGTTCGGTCGATGGTTGATCGTTAGTCGCATCGAATGTTAATATTACGGATGACAGGCACGAAGAAAGAAATTCTGCGCGCGTCCAAGGAAAAACTATCGCGAATCTGCGCGTCCTTCCGGAGTACCGAACAAATAGTTTCTCGAAAGGGTTAGGAAAAACGCGATATCCTGGTGGTGGCATTTGATTGGTATCGAGCAAATGCAAACAATCAACTTGCTGCTTTAGCGCACTTGTGCAGGTGACGAAAAGGTGGGACCAAGGCGAACCTACCTGTTGCTCCTGCAAAGCCTTCTCCTTGTCGCTGGAGAGGTAAGTCGGGCTGAGCACCGTCCTCAGTTGTTGCTCCACCTGTACGATCTGCTGCCTCAAATGTTGTATCTCCTAAAATGACAAATAGACGTCTCAGCCGTATCCTTTTCGAACACGTAGAAACGATTACCGATCCGATCCGATCCTATCCGATCCTATCCTATCCTATCCTATCCTATCCTATCCTATCCTATCCTATCCTACCCTGTCTGTCCGAGTTTGAAACCGAGTTAGGAAAAAAAAAATGGAAAGCAAGTTAGAGTCGAACCGGATCGGTAATTGCGCTTCAGAAGAATACAGCTACCGCGTCTAGCGATATCCTGTTATACGCTAACCTGTTGATATCGATCGATTTGAGCTAAACAAGCCTCTAGCGACGTCGTCTGCTCTTTCACGGTGCTATGAAGACCGTCTAACTCGTCGAGGAGTTCGTCTACCGTATCGCCGATTCGACTGTCGCCACCGATCCCGGAACGGAAATGAACTTGGAGCTTCTCCATCGATATGCTGATTTTTGTTTTCTGTATCGCGATGTCGCTCAACATTTTCTCACGAACGATGTGCTGATCTCGCAACGGTTTCTTTTTGCTCTGCGGCGAATCGAGATTCTGCCTCGCCTTCTCGATCCACGTTTTCACTTCCTTCAGTTTTCTCTCGCATTGTTCCCATTCCTCGCTGGTTTCTTGGAGTAAAGCGTTCTGAAACGAATAAGTTCGAACTCTGTCAATGTTACGCGAGCGCGAGCACTCGCTGTATTTCTCTTGGTAATTAAACGGGAACGGTCGACACGAACCCTTTCCAACAGTTGACCCTCCACCCGAACCTTGGCCTCTTCCGCCTCGAGCAGCTTCTCGGGCAAATCGCCCACGCTGCAAACCTGACCGATATTCTCGAGTTCTTTCCCCATGTCGCTGAGATGTTTGTTGATCTGTTTGCAGCTCTTTACGGCTGTCTGTAACGCGACGCGGAACGAATGTTGGAATTAGTCGAGTTTATACCGGTATACAGGTATGAACTACGAACGAGGGTATACGGAACGATCTCTCGTTTGCTCGACGCTGACGGAGACACGGACAAACGCGTACGTGTTTTTCGACGGATACGATAAGTCAAAGCAGAATCTCCAGCGAAACATCGGATGTTTCTCGCATCGAGGAAGCTTTATCGTACTTTTCATAGCTCATCGGGAAACGCGCGTTCGTCGATCTCCGTCCGATCAGAGCTGGACAACGATTACTTTACGATTACACTTGTAATCGTCGAATCGTGTTTATGTAATATACCAGAGGTAATCGTATACGATTATTCGGGACGCACGTTATACTGTGCCCAGCACCGATCTACGAGCCAAACGAAAAGTACCGTCCGCGTCCGGTGGATTGTTCGCGGTCTGGTTTCCCCACGTACCGAATATTCGTGCAGCCTCTGCCTGGCCTGCGCGAGAGTAGCGAGCTTCAACGGCTCGACCAAGAACTCTTTCTTTTCTTCCGTCCAGTTCTTCACGGTTTCGTACAACGTCAAGAATCTCTGCCAGGCGTCGATGGTGTCGGCCACCGCTTGCTTCCTCTCGTCCAGCCAATTTCTCAACTGATTCAACTGTTCGGTGCAATTGTGAACGGTGCTGTTGATCAATTGCTTCTCGGCTTCGTCTCTCGTGTTCTCGGCTATGGAACGGCCGTTTCTGGTTAGTCGTTCGAGCTTGTCGGCGATCGTCGACAGCTCGTCCTGCACCTGTTTCAGCTGCTCCTTCAGACGGCTAGGTTCGACCGATCTGTCTTGCACTTTCAGCTCGGCCTGACGCATCCATGCCTGAACTTCGTCCAGGTCGGTCAGATAATCCGATCTGACGGTTCTGGCTCGCTTCTGTTCCCTCTGTTTCTCCTCCATGACCTGGGCTGTCGCTTCCGCGCAAAGCTCTAGTGCCGTTAAATGTTGACCGAGATCGCTCGGGATCAGCTGCTGGCTAGCTTGGTACCGCGCCTTAGTGCTTCCTGAAAAGTTCTTGGCGGCCTCGAGAAGTTCGTCGACGGCCGAGCGTAGCTCGTCCAGCTCCTCCTCGGTCGCGTCTTGATCCGAGCCGAATACGTAAAGGCTCGAGGCGCGGTCGCGCGCCTCGTTTAAACGCTTTCTCAGGTGCTCGATCTCACGCTCGGCGCTTTCGAACGTCTCCAAGTCTTCGTCCGCCTTCTTGGATTTCGCCCGAAGGGAGACGACGAGTCTGCAACGAGATTTTCAACGCGAAAATCATTCTCTGTTCCTGATCTAGTTAATCTAGATGATAATTTCCACCTTCACCCGCTGCCTCGAAATCGTTTACGGATATTAACGGATCTTCGAAATGGTAACGCCGCGGTTAGAAAAGCTGTCGATTACCTTACAAGCGGAAAACGAATTGCCCCTTAGCAGCATACTTGCGCGAGGCGGCGAGAAGTAAAAATAGATTTCGACATGTTTCCTGTTCGAGCGGCCCTCCTATAATGCTTGCCAGACACCGATCATCGCATTCGCGGGTAATAGGGCAAACGTTTACGGAGGTTGAGATGTAGGTGAATAGATGGATAGCGAGAAAGAGAGAGAAAATAAAAAAAAAAAAGAGAAGAATATCTCGAATCGATCGACCGGCCTTAAGGAATTATTCGAGTCAGAAGTGCGACAAATTTAGAATCGGAAATGCGTGTCGCTGGTTCGGTCGTAGCTGGCTACGCTCCAGCCAGAAGCTAGCGGAGGACGCTTTGGCTAAAAGTAGACGAACGAAACGCGCGCGAGTACGTTTCTCGCGAAGGGAACTCGTTGGAATGAAAATTGTTCTTTCGCTACCATCGAATCGAGCGGTCTGTATCCCTCCGTCGCTTTCGCTTTCCTTCTCGTTTTTTTAACGTACGTATCGATAGAAAACGCGATAGATGACGCAACAGGTGCACGAATCCACTGGATCGGTCGTTAACGGAACATCGAGTATTCGATTCTCCTAATCGCGTTGGCCGTTGTTTGTACTCGTTGAATATTTTGTTCGAGTGTATTGCCAAGTGTTTTCATATAGATGACAACATCAGCGCTATACGCAGAGCGAATCACGAGGAATTTCGCAACGATTCGTCTTTTCGTTTACATTTGTAGTACGTTCGACGTGATACGCGCGGATGCGCTATGTTTTCCTAGTTTCTGGTTGAATAACGATGACGTCAACGTTATATTCGCGAAACTGATCGATCGATCGATCGACGAAATAAAATCTAAATGAGAGAAATTTTGTCGAGTAAACCAACAAATTCCGAAAGCGAAGTAGAGATAAAAATGTTGAGATAACTATAAAGAAAAAGCTGTAAACGCGTGGAAACCGCGGTATCGAGAATTCGGTATCGCTATGCAATTTATTTAGTTGTGAAAAATTTCGATATCGTGTCACGTGCCGATTTCAGTCGGAAGAAGAGCGATTTCGGAGTACGGGAAACCTTCGCGATGTCAATGTCACGTTTCGCAAACGTCACCGGTTTCTTTTCACGCGATGACATCATCGATGCTAAGAATGAACGATGTTTAACGCGAGGTGCAATCGGTGAATCACCGGTGCTATTTATTCGAGATACGAGAGACATTGACAAGGTACGCGTTTCTCGATCGAGATGGTAACGATGCATTCGACGTCCAAGATTTGATACCGCAACAAGATTCTCTCGACGATCGTAAACGTGGACCGAAAGCAGATCTAGCGATAGAGTTACCAGCGTTCCGACGCGATTTCCAATTTAAGCGTTCCCGTCTAACTCGTGCCACGTATTCGAAATAAACGAAACCCGAATTTTCCAGTTTCCTTCGAGTTGACGTAACGATATTATCGAACAAATCACACACTCCTGTTAACGAAATCTGTCCTCGAACACGATGAACTACCCTCGAAGCGGTAAACCCAAAATTATACGCAGCCGAATTGGCAAATTTGGCAACGAACGAGTTTGCCTTTGAAGATATTCGAGAAGCTGAAACTCTCGCGAACATGAAGAAAGAATATCGTTATCGTCCCCGGTAGCGGGAATAGGACGTGTTCCGTCCACGTGATGCAATCCTTATGCGGGCATGTGACTCGACTCGACTTTACTCGATCTATTCCGGCAAACATCATCGCGGCAAGATCATTCGCCAAGATATTTCCGTAACACCAATCAAACCGTCCACTTTTTCTCAAGGATCGATCGTCGAGTCACGATCGATCGTCTATCGAAAGTCTACCGGAAGATGAGCACTACTCTCCTGGATCGCTAGCAAACGAGCACAACAAACGTTGACCACCTCGAGTACCACGAGAATGTTTCCGTTTCTCGAGTGACGAAATCCCGTTTATCGAATCGCGAAGAGGATCCATATCGATGACCCCGTACCTAGCCGAGAAATATGGACGATGATACGATCGATCTCTCGATCCAGTTCGCTCGTTTCCCAAACTCTTCCTGGCCTCGGCGTTTTTCGATGATTCTCGATCCCTTTAGGCCCGTCTGTTCTTCGCGATAAATCCGAGAGGAGTTGGTCGTGAAAATCGGACAACAGTATGGCGCGGCACAATCAAGCTAAACAGCAGCGTTCGCGGTTCGAAACGTTATTAGAAGGCCGTAATAGCGTTAACTTTGAATTTTCGTCTTGGCGAGGCGCCGCGACGCATGCGGCTTAGGCTTAAACGTTGGCCAAGCCGGACAGGAACGAAAATCGACGACAGCCGAAAAGCGGCGCACGTCGCGCCGGTCCTAAGAATAATACCTCGTTTTCCTCTCGCCGAGAAAACGGCTCGACACGACACGACGCGACGCCGACGCCGACGTCGACGCGCGGCGCGGGTTCATTGGCTCGAAGATCTTTGCCATCTCGCCACTCGCTACTCGCCACTCGCTACTCGCTACTCGCTACTCGCCACTCGCTCTTCTCCTTCGCGACAGTATTGGCATCGATGCAACACGATGCGATTACAATGCGGATCGAAATGTTGCGGCTGGGGTTGCAACGTTGCGGTGAGAATTGAAAAAGGACCAGAAATAAATAATCGTTCCTGGCGAGCAACATTTCAAACAATTTTAAAGAATGTGACGGGAGAAATTGGATCTATTAAAAAGATCTCCTAGCGAACTAGATTTCCATGTCGGTTGGATTTCTAGCAGTGAAGGTAGCGTGATCAAATTTTACTCCGCGATTTGAACGAGCCGTACGTTACGCGTTACGATTAAAACTTCACCTGTAACAATACCGAAACCGCAGCGTATAAATTCCGCCTTAGGCGATACGGTAAAACCGTTGCCTCTACAAATTGGAAATCACGATATTCAAATCGAACCGTGCAATTCGATAAACGCTTGACAAATACCGCGCACGATAGATTCTTAGCGTCTTAGAATTCGTTGTACAAAGATGCAACCGCTGGATTCGTAACCCTGGCGTCATCGTTAAGGGGGTATCCTGAATTAGGAGGTTTAAAAAGAGCGGTTTTTCGTGAATTTTTTATGGTAGACAAAAGTAATTAATTCTATCGAGCTAAAAAAATGTATACAAAAAAATTTTTAAACAACTTTTTGTATCAAGTTAAAGTGATTTTTTTCACCCAAGGAACTTGTTCTTTTTTTGAAACTTGGAGTAACTTCACATTTCACCATTTTTGTGGGTTTTTCTTAGTTCACATAGAAGAAAAATGTATGAAAATGAAACTTTCTTTTGGTTTTTTTTTTTGTGTCAAACCAAAATAACGACCTGCATCTTTCCTGCCGATAGGAGGTTTTAATTGCGAGGTGTTCTGCAAATGTTGTACGCCACAGTCGACTCAATTTGAATATTTCTTGTTGGAAAAATTTGTACAGACTACTCAAATATGTATGAAAAGAGGAGAAAAAGTTCGATAGAATTAATTATTTTTGTCTATCCTAAAGAAATTCACGAAAAACCGCTTTTTTTTAGACCTTCTAATTCAGGATACCCCCCTTAAGCACACTTGGACGATGATTGCGCTTCCAATTAATTGAAAATCGACGTATCGAAATTCAGCTGTTGAACGTCGATCACTGTAGCGACAACTATACTTCTCACGATTTAAATACGTCGTATTAAAGTTCAACCGTGCGATTCATCGCTCGTATGTCAAATGCCACGGTATCAACTGTGTTATGTATTTCCTAGCGATTGGAAATCGTCGTGTCGCGGCAACACTTTTACACGAATTTCTTAACGAATCGTCCTATCTAGCGTTTATTCATGGCAACGAGTTTCAACGGAACTTATTTTCGCGTTTAGACAAGTCACGTGCGTCGAAACACGTTTCACTGTTCCGTTTCGGTATCGATTGGTGATAGAGGCCACGACGCGACCAGTCATAACATTTAAGCCAATAACCGCGTGCAATCCCGCTAACCCAATATACGCGAAAATTCCGATGAAAATTTGATCGTTACGTCGCGTTTACTGGTCCGATGCGTTGCGCGACGTAGATATCTTGAAGCTATTGCACAATTTCGCGTCAGTTTATCGAACGCTGAGCCGCTCCAAATTTCCGCGGTAACGATTATCCTCGCCGAAACACGTCACGGAAGGGATAACGATTCGCCGAGCGAATCGAGAAATCGTACGTATCAAAGTTTCCTTAAAAATCCCAACGAAATTCGGCTACTCGGACTGTCAAAGTTTCACGCGATCCGAGTTATTATACCGTTATCATGGTACTAGTCTCGCGATAGGTTAATAAGCGAACTGCTTATAGTACACGCGGATTATTCTCGTAATAACGCGTGACGTCTCGACTCGTCATAGTTTATTTCGAGTGTCCCGTGCCGCGGACAACCGGTGACTGGCATGTAAACTGGCCGCGGATATTACGCCATGAAATTTCGTAGCGGGACAACGTTCCACCGCTACCGCCTGCTTCTCACTTTTCTTAGGGAAATCTATATTTAGTGCGAGATTCGATCGACAACGAACGAAACCCCTGATTCGTCGGTCGCGAATGCACCCCAATGGAAAGGTAGTTCCTAATCGCGGCCGTGCTACTGCTCCGCGTTCGAACGAACGAGCTTGCGTGCGGGATCGTTGAATAGATCGGAATCCAGAGAATCTTGGATCATCCGACGTTGCTCGATCAACGACTCGTTGCCGTTGTAAGTAATTGGAGACGCGATGTGTGTTACGTAACAGACGAAACGGTGTTTACAAACAACCTCGGTATTACAATACATTATCATAGATACTGTAACGTGACCAAATTATTTGAAACGCTATTTATTCATTATTATATACAACCCGATGTCGCTTTCTGATTGCCTGTTCCTTCTCTTGATATGTATGTATACCTGTGCCCTGTAGTCGTGATCCATGAAGTGTTCCTGCATATTTCTATACTAAATACTACCAATTCTACTCTTTGCCAGTCCTGTCTCATTTGGTTTTATACATCAGGATTATTCAGTTTTAAAACGGGGTTTAAAATGTACGACTTTCATAAATGCACTGGCCAACTATGTTACGATCGTAGAAATCTTGTACCTGTCACGAGAAGATATTTAAAAGTGAATATTTTAGGAATACTGTGTATGTAGACGAAATACATAATTCCAGGACGAAGCGAACCACCAATGAGAAGATGTAATTCATAAAAAGATTCATTTCAGTACTTGATTCGCTGTTCTGGCAATCTTGTGGCTCGCTCTGCCAACGAACAAACTACAAATATTTTCTTAATAAAGTCACTGAGCTATATTTTCATCGTAGTGTGAACCTTTTTCGCAAATTTAAGTACAATTATGTGATATAGGTATCTGCGTTGCGTTTTTTTTTTCTATTAATTTATTGGGCTCGTGGCGGACCTACGAGTCCCTGCATTGTCCTGCAGTGACAAGACGTGTAAAAATTATGTATAATGCTATATAGAATAGATAGGTCCTAAATGTTCTTATTTGTCAGAACGTGATAGAACAAGTGTTCAACAAATTTCAAATTCATAATTTAGTTCACAAGTGCCGCCATCAGCGCTAAAACGCCTAAGTTTGTAGTGAAAGTAGTTCCCACGATTGTTCGTAGACGGCGCCACTGACACCTTTTTATGAATTATTCTTCATTTTTCATAAATGCATAATTAATAGGATTCTTTGCGATACACCATAGACGCAACTACAGTCCAAGATGAACAAACTTTCTAGCGCACGGCCTTCGCCGGCAACTCATTTAAATTCGTTTTCGATTATGAATTCTCTGACGCGGCCGATCGGTAAGATCCGATGCGCGACTGTGTATTTACAAGGCCTAATTACGTCATGGGACTGATTTGGGTATGATGGAACGTGATACGATACGTAACGCATGCTAAATCAATGCGTGTTGTAATCCATACGGAATCCGCTCCTGGCGTTTTCGTTTTCCTGTTTACACGCATGTGTTCGCGCGTCCATTTCAAACGCAAGTTTTCGATAACTCGACGCGTGCGTTCGCGCGTCCATTTCAAACGCAAGATTTCGATAACTCGACGCGTGTGTTCGCGCGTATAATTGAGAAAAGAAAATGGCACGTTCAGTGGCCGAGGTTCTCGTACCGTGGTATCGCGTTAAATTAACATGATATTCAATCGATTTATAATACTATTTCTGAACGACTACTGCAATGATACCTGAAAATATAATCAAATTCCCTGAAAATAATCACGTATCAAAATAGAATTACATAAATGAAGAAAATGTTGATATACGGTCGCGAAGCGATCCTGAAACAAAATGTACGAAATGGTGATGGGAGAAGCGAACGTTATTCCTCCTTTCGGGAGGAATGGTAATATGCCAAAGCGAAAATACACGCATGCACATGCGTAAAAATTGCACACACCGCACAACGTCTTGTAATTTTTTCGTCGATGATTTCACGGCATCGGCAGCGAAATGTCCATGACACTTTTTATTTTCGAAACGATCGAAGATTAGAGATGCGGAAAAGAAATTTTAAAACGGTAGATCAATCAAACGATCGATGAAATGATATTTCTACGCTGATCGAATCTGTATGCATAATAATAATAATAATAATAATAATAATAATAATAATAATAAAAGAAAAGAAAAGAATGAAAAAAACCACCGTTTCTTTTTATATGAAAATTGGTTATTTATAAGATTGAGAATAAATGAACATTATCGCGATCCGAATTTTTCGATTATCCCGGACGCGATGTAACGATAACGCCAATGTAGCGTCTTCGAAGATGTTTCGACGACGTCTAATCGTAAGAATAGAATAAAAATACGAGTCGACTCACGTATCGACGGAATTCTGCAATTTGTTGAGTTTCTTTTCGAGCACGCGCGCCGGGTCCTCGGTGAAAGCTGCGAGATACGCGAGAACGGGTCCTACCAGAGCTTTTAGTTCGTCCGTCATCGGTTTCAATTTCTCACCTTCCGCCACTAACTCCTGCGCGCAACAGAAAGATAAGATTTTAGTAACGTTGGAAGGGCATTTCACGCTCGGTGACGAATTTTTACGACGGTACTTACGCGTAAAGCTTTGATGGTGTCATGCAAGTGCTGTTTCGAACGAACCACCGTGTCCACGAGTTTGCTCTTCTCTTCCGTCGCATTGACGCGAGTTTCAACGAGGGACCACTGCGCCTCCAAGTCTTCCCAATGTTTCGAGAGAGCTTCAAGAGCGTCTCTGCGACCCTCCAAACCGGATACCAATTCTTTCCATTCGGCACCGATTTCGGAGCTCTGAGCCTCTATCGTCTTCTTGTTGTTGGCATCGGCCAAACGAAGGACCTCGCGACCCCGTTCGTTCAAAAGATCTAGCTCAAATTGTTGATTCTACGGAGAGATTGATACGGAATAAGAGAAGAGAAACAATTGCCAGCGATTGAAAATATTAGGTCTACCGGAATGTTCTGTCCGTTTTCAGAATAACACAAAATAATATTAGGTTGTCCCAAAAGTTTTTTTTTCGCGAGTTGCACTCAATTATTTTATATGGTCGTGTTTATATAAATAGACAATCTAATTTCATAGATATTCATGTTGTAACAGCAATTGAGCAAAATGAATCGTGCACAATTCAATAATGTAACATAAAACATAAAATATCGTGCGTGTATTACTTATTAATAAAGCGAAAGAAACTTTTGGGACAACCTAATACATTTCTCATCACTCGAATAAATTCTGTTGAATAATATAATTTTTATCATTATTTATGACATCTTTCCAGCATGATTGCAATTTGTATATCGTTTTTAGTGAATATGCGTGTACTTGTTAAAAACTTGTTGTAACCGGAACGGATAGAACTTCCCGGTAGACTTAATGTAATATTTCTATAAAAATTTGTCGTATTTTACAAATTTACCTGTATGTCGTTGAGCGCGTGCGTGATCTTCTGTATGTTGAACTGCAAACCAGCCAGAGTTGTGACGGGTTCGTCGGTGAATCTGGATCTCCCGATAACGGCTCGAACTCGTTCGAGAGTTTGCGTGTAGTCTCTCCAGGTCTCGGCGCCTTGCTCGAGTCTGGCGCGTTGCGATTTCGCGGTATTCAGGGTGTTCTTCAATAATTGAGTATGCTGTTGTTGTTCGACGCTCAGCTCCTCTTGTTCGGAGGTGGTCAACGATGGCCAAATCTTATCTGCCGCCTGCTGGATTTGTTGAGACACGAGCTCGCGAATAGACGGCTCGCTGCTGAAGTATATCTGAAAGTAAATTCCATCGTGTATTCGTCGTGTAATTAAATCGTGTCGGAAAGTTGGAATGTATCGATCGTATACGAACCTTGTGTTCTTCCAGATCGCTGAGAATATTTTCGAAATCGAGTCCGTTCTTGTCGCTTTCGAGTCGAATCTCCGCTTCGCGAACCCATCCGTGAAGTTTATCGGTAAGCGCAGCGTACTCCAACCGCAGCTTGATATTATTTTCCAAGTAATTTCCACGCTCCTCCATTTCTCTTGGCAGAGAAGACAAGAGGGACACCGCTTCGCTAAGCATTTCCTTCAAGGAGCCAGGCATGCCTTCCTCGTAGGGAATCGAATTCTTCAAGTTTGTGATTCTGTCGAGATGTTCGTTGACAGTCTCGCAAAGTTCCTGGTGCTTGTTCAGTTCAGCCTCGACGCTGGCCGGATCTCTTTCGAGTAGAGGTCTCGATTTCACTTCCTTCTCTTTATCCTCCAGCCACTCGAGAATTTCGGCTAGTTCGTTGGCCAACCTCTTGTGTTCCGCCGCAGCCAGTTCGTGTTGTTCTCTTTGCGTTTCCACGGCTCTCCTCAAGGCCTGCAATTGAAGCTTCAAAGATTGCAGCTGCTCCGTTATGTTGTTTCTGTCAACGGTCGAACCCTCCGCGGCGATTTGCTGGCCTTTGTCGGTCGCGCTGGCCAGGGTGGCCTCGCACTCTTGGATCTTGAGAATCGCGTCGTCGTATCTGTCGAATAAAAAAGCGATCATCGAATAGAAAAGTTTTCATAGTTGTGGGGACGAATTGTTCTAAAGAGAGTATCAGCTCGATTAGAATTTTACCTACCTCTTGATTTTCTCCTCCGTAGTCAGGCCAGAGGTTTCGATGTCCCGAACGATCTCCGTGTACTTGGCGACGAACGTGGTGATTTCAGCGATCAGAGCGAGGAATTGTTGCCGCAGCAAAAGTAACTGTCGGAGTTTCGATATTTGTGACTCGATGGCCTTTACGAGGTCGTCTTGTTGTGCCAGCACACCGTGGAGATCGGCGACATTCACCGATCCCAAGTCAGACAGTTTCGCTTTGTTCGCTTTCAAATCGTTCAGAATTCGTTCGTAAGAGTCCAACATGGCTTCGACGTCTTCGACGCGAGCACCGATAGGTTTGTTCAGTTCTTGAAGTTCCTTTTGCACATCCGTCATGTACTGTACGGCCTCGGCGACTCGCGCCAACGATTCTTCAGCCTCGTCGATGCTCTTTTGTAGAGCGAGCGCTCTCTCGTTTATAATTCCAGCCACTCTTCCGTGTGCTTCCCTCATGTTTTGCAGTTGCTCGCTCAATTCGAGTTTGTCAGCGTCGCTCACCGTGGGAAGGATGGACTTTCCCTGTTGAATTATTTTTTCAATGTCGGACTCGTACTCGTTCGCCTCCATCTTGAGCCGATCGTACTGAAACGATTCGTGTAAAAATATTATTAGTAAAAATTTCTTAAATGAAAGTAAATAATAGTATAAATACTCTTCGTAAAAAAATTCGAGACACTTTTTCAAAACGTCATAAATATGAGAGTTTTCAACCGATCTTCGAGAAACTTCGTGAGGCTTAGTTTTGAAGTGTCCTCTGGGTGTGTGAAGGAGGTTGATTCACCCCCTAAAGAGGATAGTGCAGAAAAACGGCACTTCGGAAGGGTCCAGGGGTGACGGAATGGGGTGAAAAAACAAAAAAAAACCTTTGGGGTGACTCTCCTTGATGACCTTTACAAAATGCACCCCTTGGAATCCCTCTCGGACAAACCCACCCCTCACAAACCCCCACCTTCTCCAAAATCCACAATTTTTGGACTACAGACTCGAATCTGGGCTCCATGCATTCCCTGGAATCCCCTGATCCAGGAAATGCCTGTGCTTAGGCCTGCCTGGATGGTGAACGAGTAACCCCACATCAACGCCATTGGTGAATCCGGACGCGCGAATGCTTCAATTACGTATATATACCTTGGCAAGCTGTTCTCGTAGAATATCGATGCTGGAGGTCCGCAGGTCCGAAGAAGTAGCTACTTCGGCTTCGTTGATCCATCTCTGACACTTGTCTATCTCGCTCTCGAACGCTTTCCGGCCTTGAAGAAGATCCGCCAATGCCGCTTGTTTTTCCCTCGCTTCACCCTTCAGTTCCTGATAATCCTTGTTCAACTCGTCCAAGATGGTTTCGAGTCTGGCTCGATCCTCGTCGCTGCACTCCTTCAGCAACGTGTTTCCTTGTTTCAAAATGTCGTTGAGGTCTTTCTCGCTGAATGAATCGATATCGGCTTCCAACTCGCTATGCTGCTCGATGTCCTGCTCGACTTTCGCGGCCTTCAAAGGCAGATATCCGCTCAGTTTCTTCAAGTTGTTGCTCTTGGACTTGATCCAGGCTCGGGCGCGATCCAGCTCACCCTCGAATTTGCGACGAGCGTCAGCCGCGGCAGTCGCGCTCGAAATTCCTTCCGTTAGGATGGTACAAAGCTCTGCCTGTTCTCCGCGTAGCGCCTTGGTCTCGTTCTCCAATTGTTGCTGTTCGTTCCCCTCTAATTCGTTCTGCATGTTCCCAACCCGCTTCTCCAGAGTGTCGATTACCATTTGCTTCCCTTCGGCTTCTTTCAGCATCGCCTGTAATTGCAAAAGAATATTTTGAACCAACGAATCGATTGTATATCGTTATCGAGTTATCCAAAAAGAAATATTTGAGAATACAGGTACCTTCAGAGCGAGAAGTCTCTCCTCTGCCAATTTGCTGTCGTAGCCCACAGGCTCGGATAACTGAGCTTGCTGTTTCTTCAGTTGAATCCAGTCTCTGTTTTCCTCTATCTCTTGCCTGGTTGCCTCGATGCCTTGAGCGGTCATGTCCAACACCTGCGCCTTTCTCTGGAGTTTTTTCGCGGTGTCCGCGTATCGCCTCTCTACTGACTTGATCTGCTCCTCTATCTGCTGAGAATCCAGGTTGCTCACAGAGTCCATCACTCGATCGCCCAGACTCTTGACTTGGTTCAATCTATCGGGTCCTTGTGACTCGAACTCGGACGCGATCTCTTTCGCGCTCGCTATTTTCTGCCCGATCGTCTGCCCGTTACCTTTCTCGACTACGTCGATTTTCTTCGAGAGCGCGTCCAACCAAGATTGAATGTTCTGCACTTGCGATCGATACTTTTGAATCAGTTCCTGGGCCGCTTGTTTCGCAGCGATGGCATCCGTTAGCTCTCTCTCGAGTTTCTCGAGACCTTCCTCGATGTCTCGATCCTCTTCGTGGATCGAAAGTTCGGTGATGGCGTGTGTTCGACGTTCTCCGACGTTCCCAAGGAGATCGTTCATCGCTTGAAGCTCGGCGTGCGCCGCCTCGGATCGCAGTTTCGCCGGTCGAGACTTCCACTCGGCGCAGAGGGCTCGTTGCTGATTTATCCACGTGCGAAGGGCGTTTTTCTGCCGAGTTTGTTCCTCCAGCTCGCTCACGGCCTTGGTCGCGTTCATCAGATGTCCCTGTGCCTGAAAACAATTAACGCGACAAACGATTCGGGTCACTATACCGCATTAATTATAATAATACGCTCAACAATTATTTATTATCAGACTGCGGATCTTAAGCATTTATAGGTAGTTCGAATACGCAAGAAATTAAAGAATGCACACAGTATGGAATAATATAAAAAAATATTGAGAGTAAAGTTGATATTATAGCATTCGAAGAGTAAAATAAATTTATGTTTTTGGTTCAATTTTTGTAAATACGTTTGCGAAGATTTTATATTGCATGAAGAAGATCCGGTGTTTGATTATTATTATGTATATACGCATACCTGATCGATAAGGTCTTCGAGTTTGGTCCGGACCTCGACTTCTCTCGCTGGAATTTGCACGGGTGGAGCATCGAGAGGACTTCCAGGCCTCGAAACGCAAGCCACCGCAGCTTCGCAAGCTTCGACCGCTAAAGCCAATCGCGTCTTCTCGGCCTGCAATTTGTTGTGCAAGGTGCGCGCGTTCTCGAACCTTTCCTTCGCTTGTTCGAGGGTGTCGAACGGTGCTTCCATTTCCTGCGTAATTTCGGGTTCGTACGCATCCAAGTTCTTCATGATGCTTTCAAGGGTGTTCTCGTACTCTTGGAACTTGATCAGCGATTCCGCCAATCGTTTCTTAATTTGTAACGCGGTGTTCAGCAGAGAGTTGTAACTCTCCTGGACGTTTTGCAGCTGCGTTTCGATCACTGTTTTTATTTCGGTATTGACGGTCACGTAGCGAGAAATTTGTCCGTTGCCTTTCAACTTGAGATCCTCCAATACGCTCGTGTACATCTCGATTTCCTCGAGCAGATTGTCGTGTTGCTTTATCTGACTGATCGTCTGCTCCTTGCTCGTGATGTAGAGAGAATTGTGAGCCATCAGCTGGAAGGATATCTGAAGCAACCATTTCTCGGTTTCTTGCAGAGCCGCGTGGTAAGCGTTGTACTCTTGCATCTCGTTTTCGACGAGCTTTTTCCTTTCATCGACGCGATCGCTCAAATCCTGCCAGCGTTTCAATAATTTGTTCGTTTGATCCAGAGGTCGGTTTTTCTTAGCCAACTTGGACAATTCGCTGGCTTCCTCTATCAGATGATCCAACTCGGTCTTTTTCTCGGCAACTTCCTCTTGGATATGTTTGTAACGCTCCAACATCGTTTTCATGTCACCGAATTCCCCTTTGGTATCCGGTAGTTTCCGTATACTTTTCTCGGTTTCGTCCAGCCAATGCTGAAACTTGCCGTGAGCCTCGCCGTGATCGTCCCAGCGACTCAAAAGAGACTTTAGCCGAGCTTGAACTGTGTTCAAATCGATGCTCAGCTGTTCCCAGCCGGAACGAAGTCCAGCCATGTCTGTTCTCAGCTGTTCTTGTTGCTCCGGCACCGCGGTCTCGATCGCCTTTGCGAATGCTGTTTGCAGCGTCGAGAGCAGATGTTGACCCTCGGTGATTCGCATCGTGACGATCTGTGAAAGAAAGCGAGAGTGTTGATCGTCGATCGAAATTCGAAAACGAATAACGACCAAGAGAGGAGAGGAGAGGAGAAGAGAAGAAAAGAGAAGAGCAGGTAAATACCTTGATCGTTTCTAATTTGTCCTTGGCCCACTCGGCGTCTCCAACGCCCATACAATCTTGTACCGAGCCGCGCGCGACGCGTAACCAATCTTCCATCTCTTTCTTGGCTTTCAGGAACTCGGTGTGGTCCGACAAATTTTTCTCTACCTTCGACACCAGACTTTGCATGTCTGTCAACAGAGACGTGTAAGCCGATTGCAGTTGGACCGTTTTGTCGCGTGCCCAACTGCACGCGCTCATCTCCAACAAGGCCTCGCATTTGTCGTTCAGTTCTTCGAGAACGGGCTTTTGCTGGATAGCCTCTTCCACGAGACTCTTGCAGCGCACCAGATCCTCGGGAGTTTTGTTCTCTTTCGATTGCTCATCGTTCACTTTTTTCTGAAAATGGTCTATCCATCTTTTCATGCTATCCAACGCACCGGTGAACCGAGACCAACTGGATATACAGTTTGACAATGTTTTTTGAGAGTCGTGGCACTGCGATTGCAGAGACTTCCAATTGGATTGCAACTGCTTCACGTCTTGCCCGATGGCTTCTTGGCCTTCTGGACCCGTGCTGGAAATCACGGCGTCGCTGAGCTGTATCACCTTAGAGATCAGAGTCTCTCCTCTGGGAAGCGAGGCGATGATCCGATCGACCTTCTTCTCTCTTTCGATGATCCGTTCCTTTTCGCCGTGGGTGTCGCAATGTTGCTGGAGTTCCAGTTTCGTTTGACGGACCCAGTCGGCTGCCTCGTTTTGCGCTTGCTGAAATTTCTCGTGATCGTTCACCTGCTCCTCTAAATTCTGAAAAGTTTACAAACAACCTTATAAAACGTCGTATTTTTCTGGTAAAAGTCTGGTCAAAGTTGGAATGGAAAGTACTTACGCGTATCTTATCGGATATGAGTTTGTTCAATTGGTCGTATTTGGCAAAGGTCGATTGGTAAGGAGCCACGGGTATGCTGGAGTCTTCGGCGAGACGAGCCTTCAAACGATCGACGGTTTCACCGTGACCTTGAATGTCTCTGTGAACCGTTTTATACTTTTCCAGAACTGCCCGTTTCTCGCTCAGATCGTTCTTGAACATTTCTCCCGGCTGAATCTTCCCCTCGATTTCATCGATCCAATCCGTGGTGAGTCGATGAATCTTGTTCAGTTCCTCCAACGCGGTGGCTCTCACGGACAGCTTCTGCCTAATGTCTTCGACGTTGACCAACAGCTTCTCAAACTCGGTCTTAAGGTTCTCGGTGTCTTCCTGAATCTTTGCGGCTCCGTTTTGCTCGGTGTTCATGATTACCTTCTCCTTCAACTCGAGAGCGTACCGCAGCTTGTTTTGGCCCTGCTCGAGGGTCTGTCTGATGGTTTTGCAAGTGTGCAGTTTGTTGTTCACCTCGGCCAGGGTGCTTGGAATTTCTTTGCACTCGCCGAGTTTGTCGCGCGTTCGTTCGATCCAGTCTTGACACTCTTGGTACAGCGTATTGTGCTGTTGATGTTCCTGAAAAAGGGATACAGTAGAGACTCCCATATCCGAACTAATAAGAAGACAAAAGTGGTCACATAGCGGAATTTTCGAATAATAGAACAATTAGTTTCTTTCAGAACAACTTTCAATAACCGTACCTGGTAATGGAGTTCCAAGCGTCTCATTATTTCTTTCGCGAGCGACAATAATGCGTTATATTTTGTGGTCAGCTGAGTGATGGCGTTCGAGATTCTCGTGTCCGCGCAGGTCTCCAGTAACATCTGAGCTTTCATGTTCAAACGATCGAGCTCTTTTTGCCAATCGAACAAAGTTTGAAGATGGATCTGGAACTGCTCGAGAACGTTCTTTTTCTCCTCCAAACTATCCTGTAGTTTGTTGAACGATTGCACCAGCTGCTCGGTTTGCGTGAGCCACTCGGCAGCTTCGGAGAATTGATCCTCGTACTCTGTCCACTTGACTATTCCTACCTCTAGCAAGCTCTTGGTGTTGTTTAACGAGTCCCTGAAGCGAAAAGTTTACAACAACGTAAGTTGACACGCGTTAGCATCGTTTCGTTTACGTTTCAATTGAAAAAAAGGAAAATGTAAACATATACATGTTACAATATCAGCCCTTTCGCGACTACTTACACATAGCTGTCGTACTCCTCTTGCAACAACGCCACTTCCTCCTCGATTATTTCCTTGTCTTCCTCGTCGGCGATCTGGCAGGCCGCGTTGCCCTGTTCCAAAGCGTGTTCGAGTTTCTTCTGGCCTTCGGGTAGTTCGCTTTGCAACACCTTCAACTGCGTGATTTTGTTTGCCAACGACTCCTTGTCGCCTGTAGGCTCCGAACATTTTCCAAGTCTCTCTTTCGCCGCGCGTATCCACTGAACGAACTCGTTTCCGCTGTCGATGAAAGCTTGATGTTGCTCGACGGTTTCCTTCTGTTTCGCGTACAACTCTTGCGCTTGTTTGCTCAGAGTCTCGTACTTGATCGAGATCTCGGTGGCGGGCGTCGCCTGGCGAAGATCTTCCGCCTTGGTGGTGACGGACTGTATCATCGGTTCGAACGCTACTATATCTTGAACGATGCTGTTCGTTTGTCTCAGGTTTGCTTTCCTTTCGCCGATAGCCAACGAGCTCAGACCAGCCAAACCTTTTCTAGCCTTCGAAACCTTTTGCTCGCAAACTTGCTGCAACTTTGCTTCGCGGTCGTTGATCCACTGTTGAAGTTGCAGGTACGACGAACTATAGTCGGCCCATTGAAGGAGGCTCGTCTCGAGATGAACCTTGGTCGTCGAAATTTTCTTCACCAGTCTCTCCCAGTCGTTCTGGATCTCTTTCAGTTGCGCGTTGATCTCTTCCCGGCCGTCCGACCTGGTGTTCCTCGTTACCTTTTCGCCACAGTTCACGGTCAGATGGACCAAATTCTGGCCCTCTTCTCGTTTCCTCAGTAGCTCTTGAATGTTGTCCAACCTGTTCTGCAATTCTTCTCGGCTACTGGTGGACGCCGCCTCCGTTCCTTTGCGAATTATTTGCTTCGCGTTCTCGATCCAAGCGCGCGTCTTGGCCAGATTCGCTTCGTACTCTTGGTGTTGCGCCAAGTTCGTCTCGACCTTGTTCAGCACGTCTTTCGCCAAGTTCACCTGGACTTGGTACCGTGAATTCAGGTGACGCAGTTGATTGTTTACATAGGTGTCCAAGTGAGAGGAGAGAAGTCCCGAGGCTGTTTTGTTGAACTTGTCGATCTGTTCCTGGCCCTTGAGCAGCTTCTCCAGGATCTCCTTAACCTCTCGCACCTGCTTTTCCTTCTCGGCGACGTTCGGCAACAGAGAGTTCTTCTGCGCCTTGACGAGGATGTCGAACTGCTGCAACCAGTCGCTGAGTCTCTCGTATTCGTCTTTGTACTCGCGCCATTGGCCCACCGTCTGCTCCAGTTGGTCTTTCTGCTGTCTGATTTCTGAAATAAAGCGAGTCGTTTTATTCTAATCTCACTCGACGGTACTTGAATGTGCGAAACTAAAGACAAAGTACGATGTTCTCTTACCTTTGAATAATTCCTCGAAACTCTGTGTGAGAGCGCGAACCTCGTTCTTAATGATTTCCTGTCCTTGCGGGCTGGTACTAGCGCAAACCACTTTTCCGGTGTGCTGTAAATGCTCAACCAGCAACTCACCCTGAGCCTTTTTGTTCAACAAACTCTCCAACGGCGCCACCGCGTTCTCGATAGCTAATTTATCGCTGAGAGGTCTTTGCTTCATGGAGGGTATTTTCTCGCGAGCTCGACTCAGCCAGTTGATGATGTCGTCGTGCGCCTCTTTGTACAATCGATGATCTTTGTACTGCTCTTCCCGTTCGATCAGCAACGACTTGATCTTCTCGAAGAGCGCGTCGAATCTGTTTAAGATGGTCTGAGCCTGGGAGGCGGCCAATCCCTGCGGTCCGCTGGCAATCATTTCGGCAACCTTCATTTTCAGACCGTCCACCTCGATGTTTTCGCATCGAATTTTTTCCTCGAGAGCCTTGACGCGCTCCAGCTGACACCTCTTTTCCGCCATGGTCGTCTGGAACGGCAAGAAATCGTTCAAAGCCGTCTGCATGTACTCGACGGTTTTGTTCATAGACTGTATCTGCTCGAGGAGTCCAGCCCACTTGTTGATGGAGTCGTCCAGATTGGTCTTGGTCTCCAACATCTTCGAAGCCAGAGCGCTCCACTGTTCTTGAAGCTTGCCGACCGTATCGTTGATAGCTTTGTGTCCCGTCGGCGCGGTGTTGGCTAACACAGTTTGAGCCAATTCCACGATTCCTTGAACCTTGCCGAATCCATCCTCCTTGCAGAGCAACAGGTCCTGCACTATCTCCATTTTGTTCTCCAAGTCTTTCTGCGAAGAGGCACCGAGGTCGGAACAATAGGCCAACTTTTTCCTGATATCGTCCAACCATCTGGTGCACTCGGCCACCTGATTGTCCAACTCCTGATGAGTGGTCACGTATTGATGCCAACGGCCATTCAGATCCTTGACTTTGTTCGAGATTTGCTGGTACTTGATGCTCAGCTCCGAGACCTGGCTCGTACGAGACGTAAGGTTCTTGTGCAGTTGTTGGGCTTTCTCCGTCACGGCGTCGATTTCCAGTTCCTTCGCGCGAACCTGCCCTTGAAGAGTGCGCAGCATCTCCAACTGATCTTTCTTCTCTAGAAGAGTGGGCTTCAAGTCCACTGCGTGCAGTTTCGTGTCCGTTTCCCTCATCCAGGCGAGACATCGTTCCTTGGACGTCTCGAACTCGTTCCATTGTTGCAGCTTGTTTTCCAGAGTGTCGATGGTGGAATTGACAGCGGTGACCAAACTTTCCCACTCCTGCTGGGACGAATCGATCTGCGATCGAATGTTTATCTGACCGGACTCCAACGTGCCGGGTATCACCTTCTCGCCTAGCGTCCTGATCTGTTGGACCCTCGGTTCGTCTTCCGGCAAACTCTGCAGAAGGTTCTTCAAACGATCGAGGTTGGTGTGCAGGGACACTCGCTCGAGTTCCGTGTCGCCCCATAATATAACCGCGTTATGCGTCGCATCCAACCACTCGTGCGTATCCAGGACAGACTTGCTGTACTGCTGATGATCGCTGACGATGCCCTCGTATCTTTCGACGAACGTTGCGGCTCGTTTCAGTACCGCGGCGTGCCTCTCGTTCAACATCTTCAGAGTTTGGTGCACTTTGTCGGTAGAATCCGGTAGATTATCGCCCTTGTCGCGAAGATCGAGCAAATCCTGCTGATGGGTCTGCGCGTCGTGCAGGAACGTGCGGTAGATTTGCAGCTGAGCTCGTTTCTCGTCCAATGTTGTCTTCAGCTCGATTTCCGCTTTCAGTTGAGTCTCGATGTTTCTCAGCCATTCTTCGAACGCCTCGTTCGATTCCTCGAACCCGGACCACCGCGATATCTTCGATCGAAGTTCGCGTTCCGTCGAGGCGATGCTGTCGTACAGTTCTTCGAAGGCTTGTTGAAGTTCCAGCAGCTGCTGGCGAACGATTTCTCGTCCCTCCGTTCCGGTCGTCGGGTACAATCGTTCCCCAGCCTCCACCGTGTTGTTTATCAAAAGGGTCGCCGAGGATTGGCGCGTCGAAAGATCTTTCAGGGTTCCAACGTTCGAGGCTAATTCTTCGCGCGTACTCATCCCGTCGTCCTTGATCGAACGGTAACAAGTTCGCGCGTTCGCCAACCATTCCGAGCATTGTTTGTAGCGTTCTAGGTAAGCGGCGTGATCCGACACCGCTTGCTCGCATTTTTTAACAAGTTCCTACAATATCGTTTTCATTAGCAACGCGTTTCCATCGCCTCCGCCCGTAGTTAACTATCTTACCTTGGCGGTAGCTTGAATAGACTGGAACCGAGATGTAATCTGCTGAACGCTGGCGGAGAATCTGGTCTCGCCGCTGATTTGCATTAGCTCGGATGATTCGTCGCTCATTCTGTCGAATTCTGCTTCGTTTTGTCGGAGATTCACGATCAACATCTACGGAACGGAGAAACGGTCGATAATATTAATAGAATAAAGTGTAATATTTCCATCCATCACTCTTAATCGTTATACATATGGAAATTATTATGGTACATGTGTATAATATAACTCGTTAAAAACTTGACGTATAATAGCGTGGGCGTGTAGTAGAAAAAAGAAAAGAAGAGAAAAGAGAAGAGAAGACAACAGAAGAGAAGAGAAGAGAAGAGTAGAAAAGGAAAGAAAAGAGAAAATTGTACGAGATCGACGAGTCTATCTTTCGAATATCTCAAAAACGAAGCTGCTTTTCTTTCTTTAATTACGTAATACGTACAATGTACATTGAAATCACGTTGGATACGTTAAAAGAAAGAACACACACAAAAGAGCAGAAATAAAAGTCAGAATGGGGCGAAAGAAGAAGACGAAGAAGAAATAGGGGAAATTTCGACAAAAGTGTTGACACGTCTCGATGAGAAAAATTTTCAGGGTTTCTTCTTACTTGATCGAGGTGGTCTCCGAGCGCCACCAGTTCCGTGACTTCCGTATCCCATGACAACGCGGTCTTTTGTAGTGCCTAAGAAAGTTTTTCAAAGACAAATCTTGATTTTATTTACAATTTTATCTCTCTCTTTTCCTCGTATCTTTTTCTCTTTTTGCAAAAATGTGTAAAATAAAATCTCGTTCGTAGCTTGTCTTTCTTACCGTTGCAAATTTTCCAAGAAAAAAACATCAAGTAACTTAATGCGCAAGATGACGTAGAAAAAAATGTCGCGATACGTCCATAACGCATATCGTGAAAAGCGATGTTAATTTGTTTCGAAAACGATACCTGGTACTTCTCTAGTTGCTCCTGTTTCTCGTCGAGGGTATTCTTCAACGAGTAATTTTTCAAAGACGATTCCGCGTCGGCCAGCCAGGCCAATAGGCGCTCCAAAGAATTCTCGTACTCGCTCCATTGCTGAATCCTTTCCTCGACGCATCGAACGATGTCGTTCACAGCGGTCGCGAACTTCTTGTGCTCGAATCTGTTGGAAAATTCGATTCGTAGCCAACAAGTCGAGATATTTGAAATTTCCACTTTATCAATTTTTTCTCTGTTTTACCTCAACGTAGCTAAATCTCGTTCCATGGACTCTAGCGATCTCGGTGTCAGATTACGAGCACTCTGGGCGACGTGTTCGTTCAGAATGTTCAACTTTAACTCTCCTTCCCTCTGGCCGTCTTGAAGTTCCATGATTTTAGTTAATTGTGCCTGAAGAGCAGCCTTGTTGCCCGTGTAGTCGCTGTAGTTGGCCAACTGTTCCCATTGTTGCTTCTGGTAATCCTGATAGGACTTTTGAAGATCGTAAAATTGTTGGAACGTGTCCAAAAGGGTCTCCAAGTTGGACATGTTTTTCTGCGACATGTCGACCAGGTCTTCGTATCTTTCCGAGACCGAGGCAGCATTCTGCCGAGCGTCGGAGGGCGTTTGGACGGTATACGTAAGCGCGTTCGCTTTTTCAGAAACGCCCTCGATGATACGCTTGTAGGCCAAGATTTCCTGATGCATCGCCTGGAACAGTTAACGTTTCGTTCGGCAAACTACTTACTTTACTTGCTGGCATAATAGTTTCTACTAGTTTCGAAAGCAAGAAAAGGAAACAAGAAAAGAAGAGGAAAGAAAAAGATCGCGGTTACCTTGCTCTTGAGCAATTTCGATTTAATTTCCTGAAGGGATGACCAAGCGATCGATGAATCCTGCTTCGCAGACCTCTCCATCGCGTCCAACCAAGCTAGGATTTGTTGCAGGGTCTCCTGGTAATTGGACCACTGCAGAGACTGAGCATCTTGTTTCTTTTGTTGTTCGGCTATTTCCTCCACGAGTTTATCCCATCGTTCCCGAGCTTGTCTCAATTCGTGACGAATCAATTCCCGTCCTTGAGCCGAGGTGTCGGCTAGAATTCTCTCCCCGAAGGACGCTAGACCGGCCAAACGGTGTTCGCCTTGCTCCTTCTCGGCTAAAAGTATTTGCAGACGCGAGACCTTCTCTTCCAAATTTCTCCCGGTTTCGTCTTTCTTCAAATTGGACAGACTTTGCTCCAACCGAGCGATCCACTCATCGAAACCTTTCAATTTTTCCTCGTAGGCGCGATGATCGTCCGCGATGCTTTGGCATCGAGTTACCACCTCTTTGCTGAGCACGTGTAACAGTTGATATCTGAAACGCAATCGTTTACGTTACATTAATCTCGTTGTTCGTCTCTTTCGAACTCCATTTCGTTGACGGCCATGTTCGCTTCGCTTACCTGTTACTAATTTGAGAAATCATCGGTTTTATACGTTCCACGCCGCTAGCATGGAGTAAACTATGAGACTTGTCGACAAACTCGTCAATCTTGGATTCTTTCTTGAGTATGGAGTCACGTTTCTCCTTGAGGGTAGCCAACCGTGTTTCTTTCTCCCGTAGAGTAGGCTGTAGCTGTTGATCTCTGAACGCGGCTTCCATCGCGGAGAACCATTTCGTATGGGCTTCCAGCTTGTCCTCGAAGTCTTGCCACTTTTGCAGCGCCGCCTTTTGTTTTTGCTCGACCGATTCTGTAAACAAATTTCTAATAAGCGATACGTAATTTCTACATTTCCATGAATTCCGTGTACGAAAGTAATTAATAGGATTGATTTCGGGTAGCCTATTGTAGGAGTGGGAATGTGTGCGTGTGCGTGAGAGAGGACGAGAGAGAGAGAGAGAGCGTTAGCTATAGGATAGGTATAAGGATATTGTAACGTAGCTTTAGTTTAGTTTAATTTATGACCTGGCCACTTGGGCCGATGTTGTCCAGACACGCCTCGGCGAGGCCGCCTAGGACAACGTTCCCCTGCCTGGGAAAAACCCTGGGTCGAGTTTAACTTTAAGGGTAGGTAGGAAAAGAAGCGTTGGAGACAGATTTAGTTGAGCAATCGAAGGGTAAAGACGGCGCGAATAGACGTAGAGCGGATCGTTGAGCGGACTCTATTTATTTTAGTTTCATTAATAGTTAAGTCAGTATTTTATAAATATAGTAACATATAATAAATCCTACACTATTCGAATTACCTATTTCGGTCAAATATTGACGGAGGTTGCCCTCCATAACGGTGATCTCCTTATGGATGGCATCCCATCCTTTGGGCGCGGTTCTCTTGGTGACCGAGTCGCTAAGCTCCTTCAGCTTGCCGAGGTATTCCGCTCCTTGCATCTGATCGTCCTTCAGCATCGTCAGTGTCGCCAGTCTACGGGAAATGTCGGCGCGTTCACCCGTAAGGTCGTTGCATTCGGCGAGTTTCTCTCTTTCGCTGTTTAGCCAGTCGGAGAAACCCTTTGCTTGCAGATTGAAACGATGGTGCTTTTCCACGCAGTCGGCGAGATTTTCGAGCAAATCCTTCGATTTGGCCACGATGTTGTGGAAAAGCTGTTTGATAGAGGGCAAAAAGACGTTCAAAGACGTGTCCTTGGTCTGATCCACCAGCTGTTGAGCTTTATCGCAGACGGACTCGACCAGAGACTGATGGGACATTATTTCCTGATGCATGATCTTGTGGTTCTGCAGCTGCGCTCTCTTCTCTTCCAGGGTACATTTCAATTCCGTGTGTTGGTGCATCGTGCGCTCGACGTCTCGAAGCCAGGCGGTCAGTTGCTCGTGAGAGAGCGAAAATTCCGCAAACTGCATCAAGCACTGGTCCAATTTCTGCGTGGTGCCCTGGAGCTCTTCGGAGAATCCGTCCCAAAGGGTACGCAGGTTTCTCAGCTGTTGCCTGATGATTTCTCGGCCGTCCGGAGACGTATGCACGTAGAGCTTCTCGCCGAGATCGATCACCGACTCGAACCGAGCGTTTTCCTTCGTTCTGGTGTCGCCGAGATCGCGTATGCGTTTCTGTCTGCTTTGCAACACGGACAAATCGCCGACGATCTCGCTCTGTCGTTTCAACTCGGACCGAATCTCCTCGATCCACTCCAACAGTTGCGTGTACTTTACGTTGAACGCGTTGTGTTCCTTGACGAACTGTTCGTACCGCATCACGGCTTCCTTTACTTGATTCTTGATGGCTTGATACTTGGTAGTTTGTCTAGATACCCTCGTAGCGAGATCAGCTTCGGCCTCTATACTCTGGCTCTTCTCGATAACAGCGTTGAATTCAGCCCCTTTCGCGACGATACCTTCCTCCAAAGACTTTAGTTTTTGCAGATGCGCTCTCTTAGCATCCTCGGAGCTCTTCAAACTCTGATCCTTTAGCTGAATCTCCGTTTGTTTGATCCAGCCTTCCAAACCTTGGACGATCTTCTCGAACTCGGACCACTGATCGAACATGTGGTTCAATTTGTCTCTGGCGGCGGCGCACCTCTTTAGAAACTCCTCCCAAATCTTCTTTTGTTGCTCAAAGTTGCTCACCAGAGCCTGATGGCCCGGCAGAGAGGTTTGCTCGAGAACGATATTCAATTGTTGGTTGCATTCGAAGAGAATCCGATCAGCTTCCGTTTTCTGCTGCAACAAGCTTTCTATAGACGCGATTTTATTTTGCGCCATCTCCCGTTCCACGGAGAAATCTTCGATGATCGGCGTCCCCTCGTTGATCGCGGTGTTGATCCAATCGCGAGTCTTCTCGAACGTTTGAAGATAAGCCTCGTGATTCGATACGTGTTTGTCCGCGATGTTGATACGTCCTTCCACCTCGCTGGACAGCTTCTCGTAAGCTTCGATCACGCTGGCCAACATTTCGCTGGCCTCGTCGTCGGGCGACGCGGTCAGTCTCTGTTGTAGCTGTTGCAAGATGTTCTTATGAACGGTCACGTCCTGCGCGACGGCTTTGTACAGATGAAGAGCAAATTTTTTCTCCTGCAGCGTCGGCAAAAGATCCTGCTTCTCTTCTAATTTGCTCTGCGCGTCCGCCAGCCACTGCTTCACTTGGGAGAACTTGTCTTCGAAGGAAGATCTGTGCATCATGTCGCTCTCTATCTTCTTGTAGATGACGTTGGACCGATCCGCCATGGCGTCCACGCGGTTGCGGAAATTTCTCAGCTCGGCTCTGATCGTTTCTCGTTGATCCGGCGTGATTCTTGCGAACAAAGTTTCGCCCGCCTCGGCTGTTCGATTAAGTATAGCTTGTCCTAATTCTCGTTCCTCGCCGAACGCTTTCAGTTCCTTGAGTCGCGATTGGTAGAACGTGATCGGCTTCGGTCCGGTAATTTCGTCGAAAATCTTCAACGTCTGCTCCGCGTTCTCGAGCCAAGCTTCCAGCTTCTGTTTGCTCGCCGCGTACCGGTCCCTGTTCTCTTTCACACCTTGCAATCTCTCCAGATGTTGAGACAAGAACTTTACCACGTATTCGTATCGAGTGTTGAGGTGGCCTATGTACTGGTTCACTCTGGATTCGGAGCTGACTTTCGTTATGTCTTCGGCGAGCATCGAGAGATCTTTTAGCTCGGTTTGGTACTCGGTCACCGTTTTACGGACTTGGTTCATCTCGTCGATTTTCGCCTCGATTTCGTTCGTGTCGAGGAGCATCGACGCCTCGGCCCTGATTTTGTTCTCGTTCTCCTTCAGCCACGACAGAACGTTCTCCGAGGTGACTTCGTAACGTTGCCACAGAGCGATGTTCCGTTCCAGGTCGTTCTTGATCTTGCCGTAGGAGGACTTGAGCGCGTCCAGTTCGACGTTGACCCTGTCCCGTTCAGCCTTCAGAACGGTCATCGTTTCGGCGCTTTCGACGGACGCCAAAAGCTTCAAAGAGTTGTCGGTATCCTCCTTTCTGCCGATGCAATCCGCTATACCAGCCTCCACGTCCAACAACGAGGCCATTTTCACTTCGAGATTGTAACGATCGCTGCTCTGTTCGGGTTCGCACCAGGCCACTTTTTCTTTAAGGGTCACCACCATCCGTTGAAGAGCTCCGAACTTTTCGTGGTACAGTTTGGTCAGAAAGGCTACCAATGTTGCGACCACTTTGTTCGCGTGGCTGGCGACACCGTCTCTTCGCAGTTGCAACGCTTGAAGCTCTTTGGGCAGGCTAGATCTAGAAATGCTCGGGTATTCCGTGGACGTTTCCGTGAGAGTCTCCTCGAGCTTCGAGAGAGCGTAGTCGCATTGCTCGAGCTCGGTCTTCAGCTCCTGGCATTTGTTGATACGGTTGAGGATCTTTGTATTTTCACCCGTCAAGTCGTCGCACTTGATGATGTCCTCTCGGATCTTGGAGATCGCGTCGCCGCATCTCTTCATTTCCTGTCTGATCGTTCTCTCCTTTTCGTTCATCGTCGACGTCAAATATTCCAGTTTGTCCGCCGAGCTCTTGACCAATTTGAACTGATCGTCCAGCAGTGCGCGCAGCGAGTTCAAGGTCGGGATGTCCGCGTCGTTGTTAAACTTGATCAGTTGCTCGATCTTTGCGAGGATGTTCTGATAGAGTTGTCGATGAGCCGGCAATTCCTCCCGATATCGTATCAATCGGGCTTGACAATTGTCCACGTCAAGGGAACGTTCGCAGGCGGTCGTGAGAGCATCGTTGGTATTGGTTAGCCACTTGATAACTTCCGACTTTGATTCTTCGATTTGTTTCCAGATGATCACCCGAGACTCGTACGTCTGCAATTTTTCACCGATGTCGCTGTAAACGTCCTGGTAGTTTTGTCGAATTTCGTTCAGGTCGGAGTCGATCAACTCCGAGTTAAAGTTAGGCATCAGGGATGCTTCTTTCGTCAGGTGTTGCGCTTTCGTGTCCATTTTCTCTAAATATTGTTTACCCTTCTTCAGTACTTCAAGAGCTTTCCTGTGTTTCTCCAAACTTAGGTTCGCTTGCGTAACATCGTAAGGTACTCCCTCTACGGATCGTCGGAGAGCGTTCGCTTCGTCGATCGATTGCTTCACCTTTTCTCTGGCTTCTTCGTAAGCCTTCCAATCCGTGTCCATGTCGGCGTATTTCTTCCTCTGCTCTCGAACGAGTTCGTTGACCTTCTCCCAGTTGGCGTCAACGGAAGACAGAACAACTTGAATATTGGTCGTCGAACGTTGATCCTCCTTCATCAAACAACTGCCCTCGAAATGAAGAACCTCTTTCTCTTGTTCTCTCTTTCGGTGCTCCTCGATCAGTCGATCGATCTTCTCCACGGCGGGCGCCAATCGCTTGCAGCAGTCTACACTGTAAACCGTTTCCTGAAGAGCCGTTTGAGTGTTTAGTATTTTTTCGGTGATGTTTTCTTGCAACTTTCGGAAATTGTTCCACCTGGCGCCGAGGTTCTCCAATTTGTCGCGTTTCGCGGATATCTCGTTCTTCAGAGCTATCGCTTTGTTTTCGAGGTCGTTCAACAGGCCCGAGGCGGACAGCGGTTTTCCTTGCTTGTCTCGAATTTGGATACCCATGCCCATACCCGTACCCGCGTCTGGCAAAATTTGCTGTTTCCAACCGTCGATCTTCTCGTATACGGATTGTAACTCCGACGAAAATCTGTCCAAGTCGACGACAGTCGGTTTTCTAGCCTCTGCCTCGTACTTGCAGTGACTCAGTTGCCCGTTCGCATCGTTCAGCCAGCTCAACAGTTCGATCCATTTCTCCAATTCTTTCTTCTTCTGTCGCAGATCGTCCTCCAATGCTTTGTACTTCATCGCCAACGTGGCGTAGGTTTCATCGAGGGCAGCTGCCTCGACGACCGATCCTTTCGACGAAAGTTGTTTCACCTCGTTGTAGATCGCCGCGAAACTAGGTTGTTTCTCCGAGTGTTCCTGGATATAGGCGTGCACCGCTTGGAGATTGGTATCGACGGTGTCCACCGTAGCCTCGCTGATCTCGGCGATGTTCGATCTCAGTCGCGACATCCAATTCTCGAAATCGGTGATCTTCATCTGGAACTCTTGACGAGCCAACAGGGAATCGGAAATCTTGTTGAGCTGCAACCTGACGGTGTCGGCCAGTTTGCTCACTCTGGATTTTATGTCCGAGACTCGAGACTTCAAGTTGGACGCTCCCTCCAAGGACAAACCGTGGCTGATGTGATCGGAGACTTGAGTGAGCGATATCAATTGAGCCTGGTGATCGGATATCGTCTTGTTGAATTCTTTCAACCGCGACAACTCTTTCTCCAGTACCGATACCTCGGGCGTTTGAGTATTGGGTTCTACCAGTACTGCCTTTTCCGACTTTTCCAACCATTCGTTGAAATCTTTGATCTCGGACTCGAAACTGTTCCACGAGGTAACCAGTTTGTCCAATTTTGTCGTTGCTTGGACGGCTACATCGTGGACAGCGTTCCAACGCGTGTGCACCGCGTCCACTTGGTCCGAGGCCGATGTCTTTCCCGCGAGTCGTTGACTGATCAAAGATAGCTCCTGAATGTTCGTAAAGTGTTGCTGACATCGCATTTCAAATGCTTTCGCGGTGTCCAACATCTGAGCTGCTTGAGCTAGAGTCGTAGGTTTGCTACCTATCGTAGCTGCCTTCGATTCCGCCTCCTCGATCCAAGGTTTCAATTCTCGGATTCCCTTTTCGTACTCTTTCCACGTCTCCAGGTTTTTACCAGCCGTGTCCCGCTGGACCACGATACTCTTCTTCAACGTCTCGAGCGTTTTCTCGAGATTAACGATGTCGCCGCGCAGCTGTCTGCCTGGACCACTATCACTGTCACCTAGAACAAATACGCGACGGGGTTATGGATAAACTAGAATATTTACGTAGCTACGTGATAAATGATTAAAATTACAATAACATTTTGAAACGCGTTTACTACCTTTTACGAGGTTCCGTGACTCTTGTTCTAGGAACTTTAGCGTTTTGCGCTTCTCTTCTATCTCGTTCTGGAGACTTTCGGTTTTGTAAACCATCTCCTCGGGGGTCGTCGCCAAGTTGTCGGTGTCCGCGATCGATTGAGGCGCGGTTTGCTGTGCCCACAGCTGCAGCTCGTTCATCTTTGCCTGAAATTTGTTCCATCGGTTACTGTGTTCTCGCAGGTAAACCACCTTCTCCTGGACGATTTTCAAAGTGGTTTCCATTTTCTTTTCGGTTTGCGTCATCTCCTTCTTCAACATTTCCTTCCTTTCCGTTGGCGCGACGTCCGCCAGATTGCCGTACGTCTCACGCAGTTTCTTAAGCAGTTCTTCGGAAGACTTTCTCAGAGTCGAGCCAAAGTCCTGTTTGTTTTGAAGATCGGAGGATACTTGAGAAGCATCGTAATAGCTGGTCGACTCGATTTTCTTCAGTTCTTCTTCGGCCTGTTCGATCAACTTGAGGATCTCTTCCTTCTGACTCGTGTACGTGTTCCATAGTTTTTGCGTGCTCTTCAAGGATTTCAGGGTTTCCACGCTTTGTCCGTACGTGTCGTTCCAGCTGGACTCGAGTTGTTGAACTTCCAGCGACACGAAGGGGGGCGCGTGCTGATCCTTTAAAAGATCTTTGCCACGCTGCAACATACTGACGATGTTCGATCTCTGTTGCTCCAATTGACCGAGGCGAGTTTCCTGATGGGTAACCGCGGTCTGGAGATTTTCAGGAGTTTCGGACAGCACGTCGATCTTGGACTGTTCGCGAACCTTGCGCAGCAGAGTGCACACCTCGCGCACTTCCTTCCTGTAGGTGTAACTTTTCGAATAGATGTCAGTTTTCGTCATCGTGATCTCTATCGTTGGTATCAAATTCTTGTAACGAGTTATCAATTGCTCCAGACGATTCTGTTCCGATAGAGCCTCGTGGTCGGAACGGTTGGAGGTCAAGCTGTCCAGGGTTTGAACCAACCACTTCATTTCTTCGCGCTTGCTATCCGCTTCGCGACATATTTTCTAAACAAAGACCACACCACGAGTTCATAAGAAAAACATTTTACTTTAGAAATAAATACACGAGTATCCGCGCTAATACTTCTTACGTTTCGAAACAGGACGTTGCTGCATAGATTTATATTTACCGTGACAAGTTGAACCTATCCATCAGGACGCGAACGCAAAACGTTGAAAATTTATTGTATTCCCAATTAGTGAATTTCAAGCAGAGGATTATCGAAGCCTCGAGAGTCGAGACGAGCATAAACGAGGATAGCGTAAGACTTTGTTACCTGGAATATCGTTCTTTCCGTTTCGAATTCCTCCAAGGTGTTTACTTCGTGCAGTATGGTTCTGAGGTTGGCGTCCACGTGGTCCATCCATACAACCATCTCGTCGAGTCTGAAATTCAAGTGTCGGCCAACGATAAATAATTATCGGAAAGCAACCAGACGATTAAATAAAGCTTCGAAATGAGTACCGACTTCTTTTTGTAGGCGGCCCACTGTTGAGGTACCTGCTTCAACTGATCCCTCAAACGTTCCACTCTTTGAGCAGAATCCTCCCAGAGGCGTTCGGCGTTTTGCGTAGCTTCGAGTAGAGTGCCGTCGTTCGGTTTCAATTGACCGTACGCGTGGCTGATTTTTTTCAATGTTTGCAGACACTTTTCAACCTCTAGTACCGTGCCACGACTCACGAAGAATTCTTTGTTCCGCTCGAGTATACTGTCCACGTTCTCGTTTTGCATGAGAGCCTGTTGTTCGGAGTTGATCTCGAGCTCGATTTCTTTGAGATACTGCAAAAACGTTGTCTCGTCGAGACGAAACTCGAGTCTCATTAGATGAAGAGGCGCGAAACTGAGCACTTCCTTCCAGCGTTTCTGAAGCGCTTCGACAGCCTCCACGATGGGAGTTTGCTGCTCGCCAGCCAAAATATTCTTTAGATCCTGTCCGGCGTTCACAAAGTCCTGAATCCATTTCTCGTTGACGTTGCCGAAGAAGTTTTTGTGGTACTCGATCGAGCGTCTGTTGTCGGTGTGTTTGTCATTGATCATTGTCTCCGCCACTGAGAGCCATTCGGAGACTTGCCTTTCGCATTCCTTGAATTTGCTCCAGCATCTGACGGCTTCCTGCAATCGTTGCTCCCAGGTTTGAGCAGCTCGGGACACTTTGTTGAATCGTTCGTTCAATTCTCTCAAGGTCTTGCCACCTTCCGCGGTCGCAACGTCCGCGTGGCTGTCCACGGATTTAACGATGCTGCCGAAAACTTTGTTCTTCGATTCTAGCATCGACTTGTAGTATAGGGTTCTCGAGAAGAAGGCTTTGTGGCGATCCAACTGAGCCAGGATATGCTCCCTGCCCCCCGAGAGGTCTACGCCGGTCAACATTCTCTCCGCTTCGTCCAACCAGACAGCGATCTCTTTTTGTCCAGCCTCCAACGACTCCTGCTGAACGAGTAACTGATGATACAAGTGTAGCTGCATCGGTATCAACGCTCGAACTTTAACCAAGGCTTCTTTCTCCTTCTTCAACGTGCTCATCATCTTGTCCACTTCGTCGCGAGACAAGTCTTGGATGAGGGTTTGGAACTTTTTGCTGATACTCTTGAACAGATCCTCGATACCCTCCACTTCGTTGTGAAAGATTTCAAGTTTCTCGCCGTAAGCTTTGATCTTTTCGGTGGTGGTCAGATCGGTGGCTGCCAACGCAGACTCGACGTTTCTCAACCAGTTTTGCAGAGTTTCCACTCCCGCTCTGTAATCCTTTCTGTTTCGTATCAAGTCGCCAGCGTGCATATACTGCTTGGCTTCTTGGAACAGGGACTCCCATCTTGCCGTGAGATTCGAGTAACGTTGCTTCAGCTCCATGGCTACGGGCTCGTCGGACGTGGCGATCAGAAAAGTGACGGTGTCCGAGAGTTGCTGGTGTTTCTCCTTCCAGACGCTTATATCTTGAAAGAATTCCATTCTCTCCTCCTCGGGAAGCATCAGGGCAGGCTCCGCTCGAATCAACCAGGCTTCGAATTCGTCCGAGACGACGTTCCATCGACGCCAATACGCTACAACCTCCTCCAACATGCTTTGCACGCAACGCAGGTCCATCGAGACGCTCTTCCATTTCTCACCGGTCTCCCGCATGAAACGATCGATGGCGAAGCTCTCCTCTTTGTCTAGAACAATAAACGAATCGTACATATGTAAACACTGTAGGCTTCCTAAACGTACGATCTCTTTACTTCTCAAGATTAAGTTACAATAATTCGATTGAAATTTCCGATATCTCACTTACCAACGTTACCCTCGCGTTTATAATCATCGACGACTTGCTGCATATCCAAATACGCTTTCTGGAACTCTTGGAAGATTCTGTTTCGCGACACAAAGTTTCTATACTGTTCCAACATTTGATGCACCCTTTCCTCGGTGCCGTACTTGACGCTCCAGCCCTTGAGCTTCGTCTCGACTAGGAACAAGAAAGCGATAAGGCAGCATTTGTGTTCCAGGAACTTTAATCGGATTCTCCGTTTCGCGGCACGGTCCGGCAGACTTTCCAATCGAGCCGCCATGTTGTTCAACTGCTGAGGCTGCACCTGCATCGCGAGCTGACTATTTCTGCACGCTTGGAACCTCTCCGTCATAGACGGTAGGTCGAGGAAAAACTTTTTGTGATCCTCTAATTTGTTCGATATTATGTTGGCCGTTTCCTCCGTCATCTCCTCCGGTATGTCGTTGTCCGATATTAAAAGGGCTTCGGCTTTACCTAACCATCTACCCACTTCGCCTAATTCTCCTGGCAAGGCGGAGTCCAGAAGCCAGAGCCAATGGAACATCTGCGAATAGTCGAAGGGAATGGATTAAACATTTTTATTATTAAAGCGTATTATATTTAATCGGTTCGATGGATCACTTACAAGAATTTCAAACGTTTTCCACAAGTTCTGTATATGTCTCCAAGAGTCTCTGGTGATGCTGATCATGCTGGGTGTCTCGACGAGACGCTGCAATTTATCATACACCGCTCGCTGTTGATCACCTTCAGTTTTTAAGGCAATGTACTCCTGAAACCGAGTATATCAGTTGAAGCGTTTCTCGAGCTTTCCGATATTTCGCGAATGAACCAACGTACCCCGAAATTCAACGGAAAAGAATTAGTCCTCTCTAACTGCTCCAAATGTCCGACTCTCTCGCTGAGCCAGCTAAACAGTCGGTCGTATTCCTGTTGCACAGCGGCGAACGAGTCGGCAGCGGCAGATCCTGGTTCCGGATACTTGTGTAAAAATTGCGCGACGTACGTCATTATGGACTTTTCGTCAGGCTGAGGAACGTCTACATCCTCCGGATCAAGGAGTCTGGCAATGCCTAGTTCCACCTCGGCAACTTGAAAAGCAGTCTCCAGACGAGCCCTGTTGGAAGCTTCTCTCATCGCGGCGATGTTTACCAGATTCGCTCGAATCGCGTCGATGATGGCCAAGAAAGCGTTCCCGTCTCGCCAACTCTCGCCGAAATCGCGAACATGGATGCCGATGTCCCTGAACGATCGTAATCGAACATGTACTTTCTCTACGAGTCGTTTGAATAACAAAATACTAACTTTGGCAGGGCGTTGGTCACCCACTGAAGCAAAGTTTTCCTTGCTCCCTGCTTCCATTTCTCGCTGCTTATGCGTCTTCTCTCGCTGGCGGCCGAACCCTGAGTACTGAGACTCTCCAAGCTGCTCTGGCTGCCCCAGGTGTGTCCGAGATACTCCAAAGCCTTTGTGTTTTCTTCGATCTAGAAAAACACGTCGTTAGTCGATCGCGAACGAGGGAGAACCCGCGCGGCCAAGAAAAAATTTACGGAAAGAGGTTCTAGCGTGCGTATCGGTGTCACGCGTAACATCATGCAAGAGCGTGCCATCTTTTACTCTATCGATAGAATAAGCAACTTTCTCATCAAGATTATACCAGTTACTGAGCAATTTCTTTCTCGTAGCTACTCACCTTTCTTCGATCCTTCGATCGTAGCTTGTTTTTGTGGAATAAACACGGTTAGCAGTATAAAAAGTAATTTACTTCAATCTAGAAGGAGGACTAATTTCCCGATTTAGAGACGAGATGCGATAACCACGAAAACAATTATCGTGAGTTTTGCAAGTTCGTCGAGGAGAATTATACGGGTTGAATTTTGATCGATCTTCGCCATTTCCAAATTAATCCTCGATAATAAACGCAGTATATTGCAGTGCTACCGCGTATATCGTAACACGTTCAAGTAATTCAACGTTATACGTGGCACAAGCGTCAGACTTAAGCAACTACCGCATTCTAGTTGTAACAGTGCTTTCTGCGCATAGCTTCGACCGTAAAGGATGAAACGGAAGAACGTCTACCTGGAAGTACAGGATGATGGTCCATATCAGGCCGAGCACTACGGGCGGTCTTCCGTCGACTAAATCGGACGAATTTATGTTGACTAATTTAATCTGAAACGAGATAAACGAATGTAATTACCTACCAGATATACCTACGACATACTTTTACTCGCATTTTATTATTCTGGAAATGAGAATGAAATACTTGGAATTCACCTTTTTGCTCTGTAAGAATTGAAGCGCGGTATTAGCGTTGCTAAGAAAATGCGGCCTCTTCAAGTTACGCCCTCGTTCCACCGGCTGCAAAGAAAACCAGATTTTGTCGCGTCGAAAGATTCTATCGATCGAAATTGTACGATTCGCAATTGGTACACGGTGCACGGACTCACCAGTTTCTCCCCGGACAACACTTCGAGCAACGCGAGTAGGCGGGTGCCATCTTTCAGGTCCTCGATTAAGTCTTCCACTCGAAGCGGTGGGACTCTCTGAAAGCGGATATACGTCCGTGAGAACGTGGATCGCGAAACAGACCAACGTGAAACGATAACCTCGTAAGTCGTAAAGTTTTATTTTAAAATGTAATTAGAAGGATTCTTTCGCGTAATGACTTTTCGTATGTTGGCAGGAACGCGAAGGCGATCGAGTCGAACCCACGGCCACGGAATAAGGTTGAACGGGTCGACGCGACGGGACGTCGGCCTGGTCGTACTGCTTCCGAAGCATGCATGTCGCGAGAAAGCGGGATGGGGTACCTAATTCAAAGTTTCCAAGTATCCGGAAGTGCGGAAGTAGGGGAGCAGTATCGAGACTCGCGAGCCAGGCACGAGTTATCCCAGCGAACCTCTGATATTCGTGATGAGAAGTAATTTCAGGTTTGCCTTATTATATAGGAAGGAACGGGAGGAAAAGAAGGTTTTACGTCGTACCGCGACGTGGTCGGAAAATACTTGTGAACCGGCGACGAATAAACGTTAGATCGAACGTTCGATATGTGGTCCGTTGTGATGTTTCGAACGTGTCACCGGCTACGCTAGACTTATTTTTATCTGAAAATTCGAAGCGAGATTCACCTTGGATAGGTAAGAGTTGATCCAGTTGACAAAAGTTTTCTTCTGTACTCGTTCTTGTTCGTCTGCAAACAGAAAGAGAGGACTTTAAGCGATTGCTCGACAGAATAAACGTTGTTAGAATTACTATTACACAGATAATCTATCTCGTAAGTCGTATCGCGTTATCGTAAAATTTTCAAACCTAACTATTATGTAATATTGTCGCGATACTCGAAGATATCGATAACGAAGATCGGAAGGAAACTGTACGCGATTATGTATGCCGTATTCGCGCGAACGATTCAGTCTTGACTCGGGTTACGTCATCGACGATTGCGTATTCTCACGATCGCGACTGCTACGGTGTCTGCGAACCGTAAATCGTATCGAAAACGGTGGATTTTGGCCCGTCAGAATGAGAGGAAGTCGTGAAATGTGCAAACTGTCGATATCGGGTGAAAGTTTCCAATTCGTTAGCGTGGAAAGTTGTACCTAGCTTGAATGAAAGATTCATCGATCGATTCGCTTTGCGAGCGAATACATCACGATGAAACAAGTAAGAAACCAGTTTCTCGCATTGTAAATTTAGCGCACACGCCGAACGCGGCGTTTGTTAAAGTGCTTTTATCGGCGGTAAACTTTAATATTCTTACGTAGAATTTTAAAATACCGTCTCAGCCTGCGGCGCAAACACGACAAACCTCTACACGTTCTTCCACGATAAAACGATCACGATCCGATCGATATACTTTGGAACGTAAAGATAATTTTACGTTTTTCGCGCGTGCAGCAGTAATCGAGAAGAGTAACTAAATGATCAAAATATCGAACAGCGCGTTGAAAAAATAAAAATGCAATCAACGGAAACTGTTATATTTTCGAGCAGTCGTTATTCAACACCTATGAAATCAGACGAGAATAATAGTCGATCACGCGTTGCTCCGACGAGCCGGAATCGTGGACGTGGATCATCTTCTCTTTCGGTTTTTTCTCTCGTCCTATCGTCGCTGACATTTAAAATTATCCCACCTTTCTCTCTCTCTCTCTCTCTCTCTCTCTCTCTCTCTCTCTCTCTCTCT